GTATGGATATTTTACTATGAATAGATAAGGGCTTGATGTCAGGAAATACCGGTGAGCAAATATATTTTTTGGCACAAATGTCAGTTATGAAATTTTTGCAGGACCACAATACGCAGTTTTGTACTTTAAACGATGATATAGGTAGTTCAGAAGTTGTCGTAAGTGTGGTATTGTCGTGAGCAGAAAAACTTGAATACTCAATGCCTGAAGGTGGACTCTTTAGCCGTGGACACACCCATATGTATTTTGTAGAGTAGCGCATTAAATTGATATTTTTTTAAATCAGTTTCTAAGAGCCACGCACCATTATGTTCATAAATACATTATATTTTGTAACATGAAGTCGCGGTACCATATTATTTTCATTACTTTAAGTATTTGATATCGCATTCGACAGTAACTTTAAATATAAAAAAATCGTTAAATTGTTATTTACTTTAAATATTTTCAAATAAAAAGATAAATGTGTGGTGTGGGAGAAGGAGATCTCCGCCAATCGTATCACGACTGTCAAAAGGTTGACTTGAAAAGAAGTTCTGGATATATATTATCCCAAAAATTCGAATAGGTTTGATCTTCGTACGGTTGGGGAAGCTCAATTCCCTTCAATTAACAATGCTAGTGACGAAGTTCTGGATAGAGAACAACAAAAGTTTAACCAAAAAGTCGTACGCCCAAATTGCTAGCCGTGGTGATGAAAGGCAGAGAAAGATCCTACCACAGAATAAACAGTATACAGAAGCCGCATGTCGACTATCCAACCAATTTGAATTTATGGCACGAGCAGTGAGGCAAGCAAGGGTATCACAAGCGGCGCTGCTTCTGTTACTTTAGCAGTATTTTCACTCGGCTGACGCTGTTAATTCCATCTTCGCTATGACGACACGATGTTAACTAACTTCGTTTTCCATCACGATCAGCGTTGCCGTTTTGGCACAATTATATATTTTTTTTTTACTGTTTTTCTAAATTGTAATACTGATACTTTTTTGTTCCCAAATGCCGTATTTTGATACTTTCGGCTGGCAGAAATGAATTTTCGAAAACTATGAATAGTACTACTAGTCTAAAGGCAAATATTTTTTTTTCTTGTTATTTGAAGTCTCACAATTTATATATACATATTTATGAGTTGATTTGGTAACTCTTATAAGGGAAACTCAACCCGGAATTTCTTTGCACACGCCACTGTTATAGGACCTCTAAACCACACAAAAACATTACGCAATATCGGGCTTGCGACGGCGTTTGTGTTGTGTATGGGGTCGTTTGTACTAAAATAAAAATTATTTTGATATTTTGCTCATGCTTGTTATTATACAATAATTTGTGCTTAGTATGGCGCCCACTGCGAAATTTTTAGTCTAGTTTTGATTTTGGTGTCCAGATCGTGCTGTAAAATATGGGTAAAAGCGTTGAAAAAAATATATTTTTTTTAATTTAGTTTTTTTTACGTTTTAAAGCTGAAGCTATCAAAATATACAAGGCACATTCATATTTCTTGCACCTACTTACTTGAGTAACGTTTCTTCAAAATAAAATTTGCGCAATTTTATGCTCTAGTAAATTCCACAATATTGACTTGTACAAGTCTCGGGTTGCGCAAGGATTTTGTGTGGTTTTGGGGCCCTATAAGTTTGTTTTTCATTATGCAAATAAGCAGAAAGAAGCAAGAAATAGATATTTTTTTTATAACTATGGATTTAATTATAAAATTTTATTTATTATTTGTTTTTTTAAATAATAGTTCAACAAACAACAGTTTTGTTTGCTTTTGATACTTTTTCTGCTTAGCAACTGATAAATTTTTTTCAAGCTCGCGGCAACGCTGATTACGATGTGTGTTTATGGCGAGATGTTAACTTCATGTTACTCGTAGTGGACGTGATGCTAACTCCTCTGCTCTGTTCCGGGTCGCCATGTTACTCATAGTGGACGTGATGTTAACTTCTCTGCTCTGGTCCGGGTTGTAATATAACGTCCGCCGAAGAAAAATAAATTTGTATGTGGTGAGTCTTCTGTATACTGTTTATTCTGTGGCCCTAGGTAGTAGGGAAAATATGTATAGAAAGCATACCAAGATTGTCCCCAATCCCGTATTTGGCACGGATGAGTATAAGAGAGGCATTGTTTACCAGCTTGAGAGAATCTTTGCTGAACTTTTAAAGTTTACACAAAAAATAGGGATAGATAAAGGGTCGAATATTCACGTACTTAATAGTGGTCATTACACGTTTCAAAGAGATACTCTTGCTTCAACTGGTTCGGTTTTGGATCTGGCCTTCTACAAGGGTGATCTTACATTTAATTGGACCGTTGACAGCACGAGGATAGTCGGCAGTCACTATTATCCCATAGTTATTGAAAATACTGGCGTTATTGGACATGCAACTAGATTTGTATCCAAGAAAAAGCCATTGGCATCAGTCAATTCTATGGAATGTGATGCAACCATACATGACTTTGAAATTAAGATCAGTGAGGAAATTATTAATTCGACTTACACGATCAATGAACGTAGATGTCCAAAGGCCTGGTGAAATGAGGACGTGTTAAAACATAGACTTATGGTGATTGCTTTCAATTAGGTTAAAGATTATCCATGTCCTGATAACATTACATTTTGGAATACAATATTATTAGAATACAACTTGGCGTTTTGTGGATTTAACTCGGCCCTGGCCATTCACTTAAAACAAAAAAAAAATATATAAAAATAAAAAGTTTAAAAAGAAAAAAACCTAAATATGAATATGAAATCTCCCAAAGTTAACTTGGTTGGATACACTCTTTTGGTTCGTATCCAAATTTTGAAGATTTTTCTTTGGGAGTCGTTTGATGTCTTTTGCACAAACGTCTAGAGACATCGGAAATCAGAATTACTCCAGGTTCTCTATGATATCATCATCTGTCATCTTCAAGGGTTACTAACCGAAACAACTTGCTATGTGTAATTAAAATCGGGTAGGTTCAGAAGGCGCAGCATTTGAGCGCAACCGTTGCTAAAAAAAACTAGTGGTCGTAATGCGTCTTCTGAACGGCTTGATACATTAGCTGTCAAATTCAACTGTTCAGAAAAATTTTACGATCATCTAACAATCAAGTGTTCAGTTGATCAGAAGTACAAACAACGCGTTCAGAAGATGCAAACGCAACAGTACTGAGCTGTTGCACCTTCTGAACTTGCCCAACCTCAACGTAGAACTCCATAAGAAGCTTTTCGGGCGTTGTGTTTTAGCTGAATATAGCGTTTAGAGCCTGAAAAGCTTGTTGTAGAGTTCAACTCTAATAGCCAGTCCCACGAAAGCAATTTAAGTGAAATATGATTTTTCTATTTGAATTTAATATGAAAACTGACAGAAGGAAAAAATAATTTTCCACTTAAATTACGGGTGAAACCGGCAGCTATTTAGCGGCGAGTAATTTCGGATATCTTACTTATATTTAATAAGAAAAACTTAAAAAAATTATCTTCATACGTATGTATGTAATCTTTAAAAATTGTGAAAATCCTTAGGATGGGTATTGGGCTGAGCTTATGTCATACAGAGCCAACCCATATTATTGTACCGTTCTTACAACTAAATCTTATGCATACATTGTAAAAGAAGTCAAGAAATATTAAAATTACTTTAAGCTAGTGCTTGTCTTAACATATTTACTTGCTTATTTCAAGCCGGCAGTGCCGATTCCAATGCGGGCTCATTGGTTGTTGTTGCTATTGTAGCGGACTCAATTGTCTCCTCGCCCTGTTCATCTAGTTCCGGTCTAGTATCGAAATCATCTGGCAAATCACAGCCCAAGTATGCCTCATTATCTACACAATACTTTATGCATGTACGCCAACAGTGATCTAAGTAAAGCAGATGCGGATTTCCAAATATAAACATAAGATAACGAGCTCTAGAAATGGCAACATTCATGCGTTTAGCACTCTGAACAAAACCAAGCGCATGACGCAAATCACTACTGATTAATTTCTGTGAAGAGCGCACTGTAGAGATGAGAATAATGTCACGCTCCTAAAAATAAAGTCGAAGAAAAAAAGCGGCGTTATGCGTATAAAGAACCAGTAATTTATTCTTAGATTTGATATGTACCTGTCCTTGAAATTCTTCGACAGAACCAATTTTTGGCATAGCAATATCTGCTTCGATGAAAAGAGTGCGCAAATGTTTCACTTGCTTCNATGTCCAAAGGCCTGGTGAAATGAGGACGTGTTAAAACATAGACTTATGGTGATTGCTTTCAATTAGGTTAAAGATTATCCATGTCCTGATAACATTACATTTTGGAATACAATATTATTAGAATACAACTTGGCGTTTTGTGGATTTAACTCGGCCCTGGCCATTCACTTAAAACAAAAAAAAAATATATAAAAATAAAAAGTTTAAAAAGAAAAAAACCTAAATATGAATATGAAATCTCCCAAAGTTAACTTGGTTGGATACACTCTTTTGGTTCGTATCCAAATTTTGAAGATTTTTCTTTGGGAGTCGTTTGATGTCTTTTGCACAAACGTCTAGAGACATCGGAAATCAGAATTACTCCAGGTTCTCTATGATATCATCATCTGTCATCTTCAAGGGTTACTAACCGAAACAACTTGCTATGTGTAATTAAAATCGGGTAGGTTCAGAAGGCGCAGCATTTGAGCGCAACCGTTGCTAAAAAAAACTAGTGGTCGTAATGCGTCTTCTGAACGGCTTGATACATTAGCTGTCAAATTCAACTGTTCAGAAAAATTTTACGATCATCTAACAATCAAGTGTTCAGTTGATCAGAAGTACAAACAACGCGTTCAGAAGATGCAAACGCAACAGTACTGAGCTGTTGCACCTTCTGAACTTGCCCAACCTCAACGTAGAACTCCATAAGAAGCTTTTCGGGCGTTGTGTTTTAGCTGAATATAGCGTTTAGAGCCTGAAAAGCTTGTTGTAGAGTTCAACTCTAATAGCCAGTCCCACGAAAGCAATTTAAGTGAAATATGATTTTTCTATTTGAATTTAATATGAAAACTGACAGAAGGAAAAAATAATTTTCCACTTAAATTACGGGTGAAACCGGCAGCTATTTAGCGGCGAGTAATTTCGGATATCTTACTTATATTTAATAAGAAAAACTTAAAAAAATTATCTTCATACGTATGTATGTAATCTTTAAAAATTGTGAAAATCCTTAGGATGGGTATTGGGCTGAGCTTATGTCATACAGAGCCAACCCATATTATTGTACCGTTCTTACAACTAAATCTTATGCATACATTGTAAAAGAAGTCAAGAAATATTAAAATTACTTTAAGCTAGTGCTTGTCTTAACATATTTACTTGCTTATTTCAAGCCGGCAGTGCCGATTCCAATGCGGGCTCATTGGTTGTTGTTGCTATTGTAGCGGACTCAATTGTCTCCTCGCCCTGTTCATCTAGTTCCGGTCTAGTATCGAAATCATCTGGCAAATCACAGCCCAAGTATGCCTCATTATCTACACAATACTTTATGCATGTACGCCAACAGTGATCTAAGTAAAGCAGATGCGGATTTCCAAATATAAACATAAGATAACGAGCTCTAGAAATGGCAACATTCATGCGTTTAGCACTCTGAACAAAACCAAGCGCATGACGCAAATCACTACTGATTAATTTCTGTGAAGAGCGCACTGTAGAGATGAGAATAATGTCACGCTCCTAAAAATAAAGTCGAAGAAAAAAAGCGGCGTTATGCGTATAAAGAACCAGTAATTTATTCTTAGATTTGATATGTACCTGTCCTTGAAATTCTTCGACAGAACCAATTTTTGGCATAGCAATATCTGCTTCGATGAAAAGAGTGCGCAAATGTTTCACTTGCTTCATATATGGTGTTATAATGCCAATATTTTCAGGTTCAATGCCTTGACGATATAACTTGATGGTCATAAGGAATACCTGAAAAATGAGTAGACATACAGATGTCAATTAAAAAAAATGGTTTCTGCGTTCATTTCTCCTAAATATAGCGCTTACATTTCTCGCTTCGAGCGGATTGAACCACGAAGGTGAATCGGATTCCTGTTTATTTTCACTGCGTGTGCCATAGAAGAAAATACCATGCGATTTAGGTCGTTTCTCTGATGTGGGTAACAGTACATCAAGCTTCTTCAACATCTCAGCCTCGCGCGAATCTTTCTCATTCACCATGGCACGCAACTCAGAGTCATAGAACAATTCGCTGTATACATTCAATATGGAGGGCAAGGAACGGTAATTGTATAGCAACTTTGTAACCAAACGCGGGTCGAAACCCGAAGTGTCAGGAAATCGCATTACGTCGCGTAAATATGGCGTACGTCCTAATATGCGTTCCAGAAGTGAAAGCGAGAGGCCGTGTTCAGAAGCAAATCGATTGATAACAATCGCTTGCAATTGATGTGGATCACCGGCCAATATAACTTGACCACGTTTCTGAGCAACCAAGCATACGGGTACCATAACCTCCGGTTCAGTACACTGACCAGACTCATCGATTAGTACATGTGTAAAATGGCCAGGTGGAAAGCCCATTTGCAGAAAATTACCGAGCGTAGTGCATGTGCTGATGGTGAGACGATGACGGCCCAGGTATTTCATTTGACAACGCAGTTTCATGCCCGATTCAGTAACAATCATCTGCAAAGAGAAAGTGCTTTGTTTTGGAAATCTGAGATCGCATTTAATTGAATTGTACATACCGAATCATCACAGGTGCCATCGGCAGCCATATCCACCGTGGCACAATAAGGCATTAAATGCTCCGGTATCATTTCCTTTTCAATTTGATTTTGTGATACTAAACGTACAAAATCACCCGGCTGTAATTGTTTGCTTGCTATCAAACGCGTTGCTATCAGATCCGCTGAACCATTCGATGGTGTGCCTATGAGTAGGCGTGAACTAGGTATGTGCTTAATCAGTTGCAGCATGGTTTCAACTAGTGTCATTGTCTTGCCGGTGCCTGGCGGTCCAAATATTACATAGGGCATATTTTGCGATTCGCCACGCAAGATATTGCGTATGGCGCGCTTTTGGATAGGATTCAGCTCCGGATTAAACCAAGGGCACTGTGTGCCTTTGAGCATGAGATTATCATCGCTGTCTAATTCAATTGGTAACTGCGGCTCGTCACGTGTATACACACGCGAAGGGAAAAGGAATTGTTCGCCCACGTGCTTTATTATACGATTGACTGCGTAGTGTTGCTTGCGAAAAGCAAAACGCGAAAAGTAGAATTCCAATCGAAAGTCTTCTCCATTGTATTTTGATTGAAAACCTTCGTTGAATTTGAGTAGTACGCGATTGAAGAGTACTTTGTGAATGACACCGTCATAGCTCCGCTTATCATCTTCGTTGGACCAAGGATTAATGGCGCGTACAGTGTCGCCAATAACGAGTGATGGTCGACGCTCAGAGAGATTTTCAATAGTGAGTGACAAAAACTCGCCGTCACGGGTAAAATGCGCACGCTCACGGNTATTTTGATTGAAAACCTTCGTTGAATTTGAGTAGTACGCGATTGAAGAGAACTTTGTGAATGACACCGTCATAGCTCCGCTTATCATCTTCGTTGGACCAAGGATTAATGGCGCGTACAGTGTCGCCAATAACGAGTGATGGCCGACGCTCAGAGAGATTTTCAATAGTGAGTGACAAAAACTCGCCGTCGCGGGTAAAATGCGCACGCTCACGATCGTAGTTTCGGAAATTCACAAAATATTCAATTTCCTCTAAATATACTAGCGTTTGAAACCGTATGGCGTAATTCTTTATACTGAGTTCTTCTTTCAAGCATGGAAACATACTTTCCACGTTATCCATCATTTCCTGTCGACTGGACGCTGTCAAGTAGGTATTACGCAAACGTTCGGGCACCTCGTAGAAGGCAATGCGATGTGCTAGGAAACGGCGCTTTGTTGCCAAACCAACGCCTGGTATAACTTCCCCTTTATTGGACCACACTTGATTGGCGTAATGACGGGAACGTTGTCGCAAATTATGTGAACCACCACTAGATGAATTTGTAATGCTGTGAGTAGGCTGAGCTCGCGCTGCCTCGGCTTCGGCTTCCGTCTCGCACACAACCAACAAAATTGAGCGCTTTACGCGGAACGTTTCAAATTTAATTACAAACACTTCTCGAGATTCGCCATAGAATTTAGATTCAACTTCAAATACTAGTGTGCGACTGCTTTTTCCTGGGAGTTCAAAAGCGGTGGCATTGGGATCTGGATCTACAAGTCTAACTTGTGAATCACGTCTACGACCCAAAAATTCGATAGAAAGCACACGCAATTTACGCTCAACATTGTTTTTAATGACCATTTCAACCTTTTGAGACTGAAAAGTACTAGCTAAAACACAACGTTGATCTTCGGAGACTGTAATTGCATGTTTACTCTCGTTGCGGGCATTCGGAGTTGGGCGTCTGTCGCCATTTGTTGATGGGCCTGTAGCAGCCGGGCTAGTCGGCTGGGGTACTGTACGTTCCAGTAGTGTTAATTTGATACAGCGCCAAATGTATGGATCCTATAAAATACATATATAGCAAACACTAACTAATAAATACCTGTAACAGTTATAACTTTTGATAAAAAAAAATTGCTTTTAATGAGGGCACAATACATGGACCTATGTATGTAGCTTAATAGAGAGATACACGTTACCCATAAACGTCCCCAAGATGAGGCTCACTGCACGGTAAGAGGCTACTTGCACAAGCGGGCAGGGATCTGGTAATTGTTGTCCCTCAATCGTTGTCGTCAAGCTCTAGCGGGAGACCTAAGAAGCATGCAGCCTCGATAGGGCCTGTCTATAAGGACAGAGGCGTTAGTAGGCTGGGGTTCCGTGGGTATGCGCAGAGATGTCTCGAGTCATGGGGTGTCCCTCCGCATGTCGGGCATTCATTTGGTACATCTCCATTTACTCTACTCAGGTATTAATTTAACCTGCTGCAGTAGCCAGAGCGAAGTTGGGCTATTGTAGTCTGAGTCCCCAGAGGCACACGAAGCTCTGTCTCATTCACGTCTGGTGGTTGTGTGCTCAGAACGGCATTCACAGGTCGAGAGTCAATATAAATCTAGACTGACTCCCTGTGAATGCCGTTCATGGCCTGTCAGTATGCTGTCGGATCCAGAGGTTGTTTTTGACCCTCTAGATTTCGTCCGTCACTTCATATAGATGCCCTGTGTCGACGCGAGCGTTCTTCGGCAAGCAAATGTCTGTTCGGGTGCCGACNACGTCCCCAAGATGAGGCTCACTGCACGGTAAGAGGCTACTTGCACAAGCTGGCAGGAATCTGGTTATTGTTGTCCCTCAATCGTTGTCGTCAAGCTCTAGCGGGAGACCTAAGAAGCGTGCAGCCTCGATAGGGCCTGTCTATAAGGACAGAGGTGTTAGTAGGCTGGGATTCAGTGGGTATGCGCAGAGATGTCTCGAGTCATGGGGTGTCCCTCCGCATGTCGGGCATTCATTTGGCACATCTCCATTTACTCGACTCAGGTATTAGTTTAACCTGCTGCAGTAGCCAGAGCGAAGTTGGGCTATTGTAGTCCGAGTCTCCAGAGGCACACGAAGCTCTGTCTCGTCCACGTCTGGTGGTTGTGTGCTCAGAAGGGCATTCACAGGTCGAGAGTCTATATAAATCTAGACTGACTCCCTGTGAATGCCGTTCTCATGGCCTGTCGGTATGCTATCGGATCCAGAGGTTGTTTTCCGACCCTCTAGATTTCGTCCGTCAGTTCATATAGATGCCTTCTAGTGTCGTGGCGAGCGTTCTTCGGCAAGCAAATGTCTGTTCGGGTGCCTACGTTGTTGTTGTTGTTGTTGTAGCGGCACCTAAGCCCCGTTCAGGGGGGTTCATCCATCAACGTTGTCGTCAAGCTAGGGGGAGGCCCAGGAAGTGTGCGACTTCCACAGGGGCTGTCCATAGGGACAAGGGCGTTAGATGAGTGGGGTTCTCAGGGCATGTGAAGAGGTGCCGGGAGTCATGTGGCGACTCTCCACATGCCGGGCATTGGTTGGGCACATCCTCGTTGTTTCTACTCAAGTAGGAGTTGAGCCTGCTGCAATAGCCAGAGCGAAGTTGAGCGAGTGTAGTGCGTGTCTCCCGAGGCAGACAAAGTTCTGTCCANCCATAGGGACAGGGGCGTTAGCTGAGTGGGGTTCTCAGGGCATATGAAGATGTGCCGGGAGTCATGCGGCGATTATCCACATGCCGGGCATTGTTTGGGCACATTTTCGTTGATTCTACTCAAGTAGGAGTTGAGCCTGCTACAATAGCCAGAGCGAAGTTGGGCTATTGTACTGCGGGTCTCCCGAGGCAGACAAAGTTCTGTCCCGTCCACGCCCGGTGGTTGTGTGCCTAGAACGGCATTCACAGGGCGAGAGACTACATAACTTGAGACTGCCGACGTCGGTGACACCACTTGCTTGCAAAGCATTGTGTTATGCTCCCTAATAGGGAGCAGGGATCTGGTCAAGCGATAATGATTCCGATTGGAATTGACCCTGGCATCAGTGGGTACTGTGTTGAGTAGCCGCTACAACAACACCCGTGATTAATTAATTTAATTAGATTAATTTAAGGACGGGAGCAGTTTATTTAGTAAAAAATAAAACAGATAATTTCTGAATCAATAAATTTACCTAAAAAAATTACGATTAAGTTCCAAGCAATACATAAAACGAAAGATTATAATTACACCCGCGCACAAAAAAATGGTGTGTGCTCTTTACAAAACCCACCTAAAGAAATGTATTTCGATACTGAACCCGAATCAGAGTAAATTACGAAAAACCAAAAAAATGTAATTTTCGTGTTCGAGTCAAACGAATCTCAACAAAAAAAGTGATCTGTAAATTTAACCAGAACTACCTCCCGACATGTATTTCGACCCGTTGAATCCGAAAATTAGGTCCGTTTGATTCGTGCACCAAAATTTCGAATAAATTGCGTAATTTTTGCATTTGTTTCACAATTTTAGCAATTAACTTGAAATTTATNAACGAATCTCAACAAAAAAAGTGATCTGTAAATTTAACCAGAACTACCTACCGACATGTATTTCGACCCGTTGAATCCGAAAATTATGTCCGTTTGATTCGTGCACCAAAATTTCGAATAAATTGCGAAATTTTTGCATTTGTTTCACAATTTTAGCAATTAACTTGAAATTTAGGAGGTATACAAGGGAAACGGACCTCAGATTCGGGTTCAATGCATCGAGAAACATGTCGGTAGGTGGGTCTAGTTAAATGCACAGCAGCACGTGTGCAGGTACACGGCTGAATTTCGAAAGTATAAGTCTGGGTCATTTCGGGTACGTAGAACCCACTATAGTGGGAACATTTGTGTTATATATTTGCTTACCCGTTCACATTCGATTAAATCTGCCAGGACGATGTCGCCCACATCAAGCTTACAGGTATTGGGCACAACATCGAAGGTAAAGTAACAGTCCTCGTTTAGCACTCCCCAATCTGCGTTCAAACGCCGCACTTCGCATTTTTCCTGTTTCAGTAAACGTGCCGGATGCACGCTCACTTCCTGCAGAACTTCACCTTGGCGATTCACGAAATGCTCATCGCTTTGTACATTGCAACAGATGAAGACACGGTCCCCTGCTTGTGGTATAAAATCTATTTCCACCGTGTCTAAATTAATATTCATTAACTTGTGTTCGGTATCAACGACAATAGCGCCCGGTTTACGCTCCATAATAAGACCGAGTATATTGCGTTGATGTGTGTTAAAAAATGTTGGTTTTTCATTACGAAGCTCTGCAATTTGTTCATCGATCTGAGAAGATAAAGGAGGGTACATTTTATTTCATAATATTTCGCTGATGTGGTTTACTGTAAGCAACTTAAAAACGCCTTTGCGTTATCTAACCTTCTCCGCTGTAGGTAAAGAATCATCCCAAAACAATTCTGATACTTCTTTGATTTGAACTACTTTGATGTGATCACTATGCAGCTGTTGGAATGCTAAATACTTGACATGACAGCCGACTTTCAAATCACTAGCCAAACCACCAGCAGAGTCAATGTCGAAAAATATAGAATGGTCAATGGTACCATGGTTACTCTTTAATGTCGTTATCACGCCTTAAAAATAGTAAAGTATGGGTAAGATTGGAGAAATACATGTATATGTATATTCTTATTTATTTATTTTTTTTAATTACCAAGCCGCTCAAAACACGTATCATCCTCCTTATTATTGAGAGTGGTGTTAGTGTTTTTTGTTCCGTTAATAGATGCAAGCACATTTTGCATATTTGAGGCATCGCCAGATTTGAGTTTTTCAGTCTCTTCCTTTTCAATCTCGGCATCCAGCCGTCGTTGTTCTTCTTCTAGTTTTTCTGCATACATTTGCCGCTGCTTCTCAGCATCCATCGACTCCCAGAGGTTTTTCAAAAACGACAACATTTTGGCAAATAACTTTTAAACTTTATAGATAGCAAAATTATGAGTGTTCTCCGAAACTAGAAATCTATTATACCGCCTTCCTTTCGACGGTCTCGTACATCCAGTCTGTCTCACTAATATAATTCAATTCCTTACGAAGGTTCTGCAACCGCTTTTGTTGCGTCTCTGTATTCGTAAGCTTGTATTCGTCTTCCGTTAGTACAATTGAATGACAACGTGAAAATATTTTATCCGTCTGGGTGTCCGATTTCTTAACCTGAAAAATGCACAAACGAGACAGTTTTTGCAAGCCTGCACAATGGATATGTATTGTCTTACTTCACCGCCAATGGCTGTATCTGATGTACTCGGCAACTCCTCAGCTATACTTCCAGGTTGGTGCATGTTATACAAGAAACTATAATTTATTGCTAACTTCTTTTTATAAGAAAACCTAATAGTCTACCGAATTCAGGATAAATTCAAAGAGCGCGATTACCAAAAGGAAGCGTCACAAGTGCAAAAAAAATCGTTGTGCTAGCGGAACGTACGAATGGAACATAAGGCGCCTCCGGGATATTTTTTAAAATGATGGAAAAATGATTTGGATATATTCTCAAATTAAAGGGTGTGTCAGACTTGGCAATAGGTTCTTTCCTAACAATCCGCACCGGATCCGGTAGTTAGAGAACAAAAAAAAAGTTGGGTGGGCTTTCCAAAACGGAACCAATCGAAATTTCAGCGAAAGTATAAGGAATTTCGTCATGAAACTTGGTGAGGATGTTGGGGGAGGCCTCCTCAACATGAATTGTTCACTCTCACAATATAATTGCTAATAGTATTTTAGCAATTTGTTGTTAAATAATGTCCACTATCACCCCCTAATTTTTTTAAAATATGCCACTTATCACTTATATTTTGTGTTACATGTTATATTTTCAATGCTCACATGCGTATTTTATGCTTTTATTATATATAATTCACCAATTAATTAAGTAAAACGCGTTTATAAACTTGTGTTCACGTTTTACCACTTTTCACAAACAAACAGAAATAACAATGGCCGACAGTAAGAGCAAATATGTGCTGCCATACGTTTTAAAAGTAAATACGCCACTATTAAAGGATTTTATTAAAACGCGGCCAACACAAAAAAGAGTTGTGCGTAAAATGGTCATATCGCGCGATTTTATATAAAACACCCAGTAACCACATATTAATATAGTTCCATATATATCGAAAATTTTCGCCTGCGCCGCTTTATATTCTAAAAATCGATACTTCCATAAATAATGAAAATTTTTAATTACAAATCGCGCGATTTTTTATTAAAAATTTTCGCCTGCGGCGCTTTATATTCTAAAAATCGATACTTCCATAAATAATGAAAATTTTTTATTAAAAATCGCGCGATTTTTTATTACAAATTTTCGCCTGCGCCGCTTGATATTCTAAAAATCGATACTTCCATAAATAATGAAAATTTTTAATAAAAAATCGCGCGATTTTTTATTAAAAATTTTCGCCTGCGGCGCTTTATATTCTAAAAATCGATACTTCCATAAATAATGAAAATTTTTAATTAAAAATCGCGCGATTTTTTATTAAAAATTTTCGCCTGCGGCGCTTTATATTCTAAAACTCGATACTTCGATGAATAATGAACATTTTTAATAAAACATCGCATTTTATTATAAAATCGATACTTCGATAAATTATGCAACTTTTTAATCAAAAATCGACCAATAAATAATTAAATTTTTTTATTAAATATCGCGCGATCATTATCTGCATTTTTTATTGCTTCCGTTTTGTGTTTTTGAGGCATTTTTTCAGATGTATGGCAGCACTGACATTTCATTCAATTGGTGTACAAAGCAAAAGGTGAGGTTAAATTCGGTATTTTTTGCAACTTTAAATGCGAATAACTTTAAAACTATAAGCCTCCGGAGGGTGGGGTCTTCAGATTTAGAATCTGAAAAAGCTGCTCTATACTCCCTAATATTTTTTTTTTTTCAAAGCCTGGATCCGTTTTGGAAAATTTTCCCAAAATCAAAAATCTGCCGCAGACAGAGTCAAAACGGAGGTCCAAATCGTTGCGGCACATTTTAAAAGTAACGAGTTGTTCCTTCTTAAAATTTCACCTTTGGTTATACTTTTCAATCGCTGAGATAGCTGGCATGCAATGGTTGATTGCATCTTTATTTCGACATACCTTGAAAATTGCTCAAAGTCACCCTTTGTTTAGCTAAACGACAAATCAATTAGCAACTTTGGTATTTTTGTTGGTAAGTCAACGTCAAAATCCGCTTGATCGTCCAATTGACATTTGAGATACCACACTTTTCTCCAATCGAGTTACGTGCTTTGCATTTTACTCAGACGTTGTGATTTGCGAATATTTTAAAATAAGTTTTATCAATTAACTAGGCGCCTTTTTTGCGGAAAAAGTGCACTAAGTGAAGCAGCTTTTGCTTTAATTTAACAGCAGAGTATAGCAGGAGATCGCAACAGCAGTAAAGTTGACTGAATCGCGGAGTTATTTCGTTTGCATTTACGTGGAGCAGCGGCGGCTGAACGTGTTGAAATTGCGTGAGGAAAAATGGTTAAGACTAAAAAGGGCAAGAAAGAGATAGCTACCAGCGCTGTTGGAGGCGTTTCGTCCGGTGATGAAATGTAAGTACTCCCAGGATGTCACTAGAGGTAAAATTCGTATAGGATTCAATGCGGTGGAAAATGTGCGAAAAAATTATGGCGTCCTACAAGCAGGTGAAAACAAGTTTTTGATAGCCAAAGCAGTGAAAGGGGAGATTTGCTGCGTTGTCAAAAAGCATTTGCGNGTTTCGTCCGGTGATGAAATGTAAGTACTCCCAGGATGTCACTAGAGGTAAAATTCGTATAGGATTCAATGCGGTGGAAAATGTGTGAAAAAGTTATGGCGTCCCACAAGCAGGTGAAAACAAGTTTTTGATAGCCAAAGCAGTGAAAGGGGAGATTTGCTGCGTTGTCAAAAAGCATTTGCGTTTGGTGACAATTTTGTTTAGGGCTTATTGCAAAATCTTTCTGATTTAGTAAAAAAAAGAATAATATAATACATATGTATATGTATATTATTTGTAGGGAACAAACCGATCTTCGAGAAGCTAACGTTGACTCCGATGCTGAACAGGACAATGTAAGCTTGAAGAACAAAAAGAATCAACAAAAGACGTCAAAGAAAAATAAGAAAAATCGCAAGGATTCTGAAGAAGGGGCGGATGAGGTGGAGAGCATTGCATCGGCGGTGAAGAAATTGGATGTAAAAGGAAAGGGTAAAAACAAAGGAAAACCTAAGCACATTGGTTCCGATGATGAGGAAGCTGGAGAAGAAGTAGAAGAAACATCCGTAAAATCCAAAAATAAAAACAAAAAGAAATCGGCATTCGAGCTACTGGCGGCTGAAGATGATGAAGATTATGATACGCCAGCTCAGAATGATGACCCGGAAGAGGAAGAGGAGCAGCCTTTAAAATCTACAAAAGATAAGAGTGCCGGTAAAAAGGGTAAAAAGTCTAAAAGGAAAGGAAAGGATGATGAGGATGAAGATTTGGACAAAATACTAGCAGAACTACAAGCAGAATATGCAGGAGAAGCACCAACCGAAGTAGTTAAAACAACGAATGTTGTATCTCCTGATGATTTGGGCGATGAAGAATTCAACAAAAATAAAAAAAACAAAGGCAAACAGCAAAAAGCCGGTGAACCTATACCAGCAGCTGCAGCAGAGGAGGTTGCTGATAATGACGACGATGAGGAAAGCGGTACGGTGAAGACAGCTGCACAGAAAAAGCGAGAAAAGAAAGAACGACAAAAACGTGAAGCAGCTTTGGCCAAGCAACGTGGCACACAAGAATCAAAGCATGCTCCTAGTGAAAATACATCTGAGACGAGCGAAAAACCAATTGTGCAAGAAAAGACTGAAGCTAGAGCACCATCGGTGGAACCACAAGTTGGCGATGATGGAGCCGACAATGAAGAAGCTGGGGCAGGTGCAGATGAAGAAACAGCCAAGGACAAAAAGAATAAAAAGAAAGCCAAAAAGGATAAAAAGGCAGAAGAGGAAGAAAGCAAGAAGGATAGTAAAAAGAAGGGCATGTCTGCGGCTATGGTGGCTGCTATGCAAGAACGCTTGAAGCAAATCAAAGAGGAAGAAGAGCGGCAACGACAAATTGAAGAAGAACGAATCCGTCAAGAAGAAGAACGCGTACGACTTCGTTTAGAAGCTATAAGAATAGAAGCTGAGCGAAAAGAAAAGAAGAAGCAAAAAGAAGCAGAAAGAAAAGCTCGCCTTAAAGCCGAAGGAAAACTCTTGACTAAGAAACAGAAAGAGGAGCGGGCTCGTGCCCAGGCCATGCTAGAGGCTTTGAAGGCACAAGGCCTAGAAATTCCAGACCCAAGTGAAAAACGAGCAGCTCGACCAGGTAAAATAAAGTGTTTTATTTTCTCTCTAGATAATTTAATCATATACTTACAGGTACTCGCATACGTCCAAAGAAAAAGGGCCCAGCAAATCAAGAACAAACAGAGGCTGAAGCTAAGGCTGCCGAAGTGGCCGCAGCAGNGTGTTTTATTTTCTCTCTAGATAATTTAATCATATACTTACAGGTACTCGAATACGTCCAAAGAAAAAGGGCCCAGCAAATCAAGAACAAACAGAGGCTGAAGCTAAGGCTGCCGAAGTGGCCGCAGCAACCGCCAATGCTCAACAACAGGCAGCAGAAAAACAAGAAGTTGTAAAAGAATCTTGGGATGCAAGTGATTCAGAGGAAGAAGCAAATGGTGATGATGATACTTCGCAAGCTACAACCACTACCACGAACAATGATGAAAAATCCAATAGCGGTGGCGAAACTGCAACCACTGGCGCAGCAGCAAATGCTGATGATTCCTCTGATGATGAGTCGGACGAAGATGATGATTCTGACGATGAATCTGAAGGCTCAGCGTCCGAATCAGAAAAGGAGGAAGCTATTAATGCGAATGATGCCGAAGCACGTCGT